ATAGATAAGGACCATGTTGAAAATAGAATAACTGACGTGAAAAGATACCTCAGGGGAAATATTAAAAATCTTGTGGACGAACCCAAACTACAACAAGAGTTAACGAGTTTGAAACGTCTTATTCAAGTGGATAAAACAAGTCAGCTGCAAAATTAGACGATAAGATTACGAAGGTAAAAATAGACGTCCAACGTTTAATAGATAACCCAAATGTAAACGAGGATAGATTGAAACAAAAACTAGCCGCTTTGGAAAGAAAACTTGGCGAATTGCTAGCAGAACTAGACAAGACCGTGGACAAAACCGAGTTACAAAATTCGATATCCAATTTGAACGAAAAGATCGCGAAGTAAAAATCAGATGTTCAAGATATAATTAACACACTTCCCATTGACAAAGATACGTTGAAACGACAATTGACTGCTTTGGATACTAAAATCACGGACGAATTAGAAAAAGAAGTGGGTGTGATTAAAAACTTTCTTCAAAATAAATTTCGAGATGATATGAAAAATTATATTAAAGAACAGGTCAATCTTTTGGTATCTAGAATTCATGACGATTTTTTGAGACAAGAGAGAAAGTTGACCAAATTAGAAGCTATTGTCACGGACAAGTCGTATTATTTCAATCTTCCATTCGAAAGTGACACTGCCTTCGATAGAAAAGGCCAAAGTTATAAATCAAACAAATACGGATTCAAAGCAGAAATAAAAGTAGCTTCTCGCGTAGACGGAGAACCTAAAAACGTATTCGATATCGGCGAAACGCAGGGGTTTACTTTTCGAGGTAAATGTGTGATTAATATAGATTTTCCCATGAGGGTTAAAGTCAATAAAATAGTCTTCAAACAAATCACTGACGATAAAGATGATGTTTTAATAACTCTTTTTTTTTATCAATGATGGTAATTTGGAAGAGACTATACGTTTAAAAAATAAAATGGATAGATTATATGAAATTGAAACAAAAAATGATAAATATGTAGACCAATTTAAATTGCATGTAATATATAATAAGGATATCCTTGGAATCAAAGATTTAGATATGATATTGGAGACGGAAAATCCACCATCATCTAAAATAATCAAAATTCCACCATCAACTAAAATACTTGGACAACCACTCGAACCAATAGAATCGAGCAGTCACGAGTTATTACGAACAACAGACTTTGAATACGTAAAACTGTTTTTTGTTTTAGGTGGAAAATACACCTCGATCGATGTTCATAAAAGTCAACAAGAAAGAGAGTTTATAGTATTTTTATCGTATGGCGAAGACTTCGAGCTGAAAGGTGGTGGATATATTTGTAGAGCCAAGATAAACATCGAAAAAAAAAAAAAGAAAATATTCCTATCATCTTAAAGAGGACCATACGAAAAAAGAAATGTCGTTAGTATGCGTAAATGTTTTTATTTTGAATATCCAAAAATATAATAATAATAGGTTTCTCGAAAGGTTTCGTTTATCGAAAATTCACTTAATTTAACGACTTAAAAAATGGAACTCGAATGCAGACAACAATACATGATAGACAAACAAGAAGAGTTGAAAATAAAGTTGAGACAGTACAATACATGCATTAAAACATGGAGTAGAATCGATTCTGTTTTCAAAACAGCGAGTGTAGTTCTAACGATAGGACAACATTT